AACAGGTTAATAGGATGTGCAGAACCTCATAAAATGTTTTGGTATGGAAGAATACAGATTTCGTTTGCAGATAAAAAATATAGACGAGAACGGAAGGCGGAAAGGGAGAAGGCAACAACACAATGGCACTTGAAGAAACAAGAAGAACATAAGTGCAGAGGAAGTTACCATGAAGACACGTAAATGTAATAGATAGGAGCAGTTCCCCCTTTCTAGTATCAAGAAAATACAAAGTACAATCACTCATTATACTGAACTACTAAGGGACTTTTGTAAAGGTGTTGAGATTGCTATAAAATATGCAGGGATACTCTTATTTTCCCTAACAAGCCAAATGTGACTGGTTTATCAATCTGCCCAGTAATATCATGTATCAAAAGTATAAGTAGGGATGTTTAGTTTTGAAGTAAATAGGCACTGTATACACTTTCTAGTAAAAACTCCAAGTGTTTTATTATATATACAATACAAAATATTTTGCTGATAAAAAAAATGAGAGTATAATAGGGCAATTTGAAACTCAGTTGATGAACTTTAAAGCATGAATATGGGCCAAGGAAGGTTTTTTTCCACGAGTTCTTGCCTCAAGGAGTTAACTTTTTAACGAAAAAAAAATAGATATTTACTTGAGTATACTTTAAGTTTTAAATATAGTTTCACATTGACTAAATAACAAGAGAATAATAATATCATGACACACTTTTACATTCATTTGACACAAACTACAAAGATAAAATGGTCAAAAGAGTGTAAATTTTTGTATTGTTTCAAGAAAGAAAAATGTAAAAAATAAGTAAGGATAGTGTAATGTAAAATATTTAAGTGTGTCAGAATCTTTAGTCAATAACAAAATAAAAGTTTGATTTTTAAAATCAGAAAATTACTTTATCTGGTTATAGGATTAATTCTTTACTTCGTCCATAAGTTTCACTTGATTCTACCTTATTTATATAAATCACTTTCCGATAATTATGCTTAGAGTGCGTAATTGGTAGTTTCTTATCATTTAAGTACTTCTTTTCACTGTTACATTTCACAAACATGAAACTAAAAAATTTGAGATAAGTAAAAAGTGTTTGACAAAACTTAAGATAATGACTAAGTCTAAGTCGTTATTATTCATCGTGAGAGATAATGACTATTCTATTACAAGCATATAAGCAATACCTTCTAAAATAGTAAATTCCATAATCAAAATAACATCAATCATAAACTAAACCGAAGTAAAAAACAATAATGAATGTTAGACTTCAAGACCATATTCGACTCCTATTCAAGTGAAAATATAAAGGATTTTAATAGAATATTAACATAAGACAAATATGAGACTTAATTACATTTATAATTTGTTTTATAAAAGTTGAATTTGTGTTCTGGATCTGCAAAATTTCATGTATAACACTACCTTAATCACGAAGTTAGAACCGTGGTTGCTGAACAGTTATGCCTGAGCAGCGTAAGTTGCAAACTAAACCCAAGAAGAAAATATTAGAGCTTTCAAAACAGATCACCTAGCTCAATCCATCACGGATTGATCATTTACTGAGTCAATCCAACCCGGCTCATTTATTAGTAAATCAGAAAAATTCCAACTCGACCCAACCCACCGGGTTGGTGGATAAACAGGTTGCCTCACTTAATTACAACTTTTTTTAAATAAAAAAAGTTACAAACTTTCTATAATTCAAATCTAAACAAATTTCACTCCCAACATGAGTGTTTAATTAATTTTGAAAATAAAAAACTTAAATAATTTTTTCAAGCAAAAAAAATAATAAATATTTTTTTATAAAATTAAAAGTAAATTTTAATAAAATAAAATTAGATAGGTGAATTGGTGTACCAACCCGGTCCACCACAGGTTCAACCCGCATGAGCTGGGTTGAAATCTGATCCGCATAAAAAAAATACAATTTTTTCAAACCCAACCCGGCTCATGCAAGTTAAACCAGTGGTGGACCGAATTGGTTTGCAGATTATGACCCATTTTGACAACTCTAGAAAATATAAATGAATATGCTAGACTTAAGGACCATATTCACCTCCGGGTGAACTTAAAGTATATAGATTTAAATTAAAGTAACATGACAAACTTTTACTGCCACCCAACCCTTTTTGACGGATATAGCCACGGTGGTATGCATGTAACAAAAACATGTAATCAGTTATTAATAACCTATTGTGCTTGATAGTACTTTAATCTTTAAGAGGAAAATAGAAAGGATTGAGCTGACAAAACAAAGTGGATAACATAACGACTACGACTACATGTGACATATATATACATTTTATTGTACACGTATAAATGTAAGTAAGATGACGATGGATTGAAAGGAGGGGGGAAGCGGACAGAACAGTTTGATGAATCATCATCAACGTGGGAGGAACAAGAATGATAATATGAGTAGGATTATAAGTCCCACAGATACAATGAATAATGTTATCAGATAGCATACAGAAAAACAACTTCCTCATCATTTATAAGTCACCTTTCCTAAGTGTTTTAGACCCGACCTTGGTGGAAAATCCTTGGCACTGAGGTGAGTCTGTCAAAAACTGCATTTTGACCAAAACCAAGTCCTAAATGACCATTGGGAAAATTCTTTGTTCCCCAGTTCATTTCCTACACAAAAAAACATGTTCAAGAACAGTGGTATATAATCCACGATCATGTTTGAGCTCGTGTGACGGTAGCTCTGGTTGATAAAGTTACATTTGGTGTTTGGTTATTGGACTCATGAACTAGTAATACCAGAGGCCCATGGAACGATCACTGGTGCAGAAGGGTGCGAATTTCGATACCATTCTGGATACTTATTCTTAAAATTTAGTCGAGGTTTCTCAGCCTGGATCAAAATTAGGAGTACATTAGCCAGGTGAGGAGGGGAAATAAACGATGAAAAGGAAAAATTTTAAACCAGACCTGAAAACTCGAGTATTTTCCTAAATCAGATAATAAAAGTATCAAAAGATAGAATGGGGTAGAACTTACATATTTCAGCCAACATTCCTGATGTTTGTGCTGGTAAATATCTGGAGAATGACACCCAAACTCAGATGGGCAATAAACCCAGATATTGCATTTCTTTTCACCTTCTTTGGCATGTTTAGCATGATCCAAGCAAGCTTGACAGCAATCAGCTGCGCTATCCTTGTGATGTGTAAGACCCCATCTTACTGCAGAACCATCATAATCTGTATGAAGTTCCGCATGGCACTCGGGTGAAAGGGGCCTGCCAGGAAGAACCTCCTCATCTGGAGAAAACGTATACTTGGTAAGTCCAAAGAAATAAATATAAATGTACACCACCAGATTCTATCATGGAATGTATGCGTCGTTAATTGATTCCGAAAAACCACTCAAGTGATGAATTTTCTACAAACAATATTGAAGGCAATGCATATAAAGGAAATAGAAAAAAAAAATGGATATTATAACTGAAGAAACTGATATTACCAAACTCCTCTGCACCCTCAGGTTTGTCATCATGTTCTTCATTGGCAACTTGAGCAGGTACCCAAAGGCCAATTTCTTCACAAAGCAGAGCCCAATCAGACTCCAAGGCTCTTGCTAGTATACCTAGGAAGTTGAAATAAGATTATGCACAAGGTGTCAAAGATTTGTAAGGTATTCATTAACAGTTTGCAAAGAACATTATCTTAAAAGTACCACACAAAAAACTCCTCAGTTACAGACATAATAGAAAATCAATGTTCATACCAGCTTCTTCATGGGGGATGGATGAATTGGAAGTCCCCTTCACAAGAGCCGACTTGACCTCTTCCAGTTTTCCCTTGCGCCAATTTTCAACTACTTCTGTATTTATGAAAATGTAATATCAGCAAAATGAGGATATCAGTTGCGTAACAAATGAATTAGGAACAAGATTACTTCCAAATTTTTTAAACTATTCATTTAAATAACACCACCAAATTCAATGTCCAAAACAGAGTAGCTTATTGTTCAAGTAAAAAGTTGGGTGCCTTTAACCAAAGAATAAAAATAAATTGAACTCTCTGACTCAAAGTTAATGACTACCTTAAGCCAAAAGAGTTCCGTCCCTTGGCCATGAGATCTAATATTTTATTTCAGTTATAATAAATAATAACAAAATATAAACAAATATAAACCCCTTTATCTTTTGCTAAAACCTCTCCTAGACTATAATATCTATTAATTGAATCAAAACTTCTTTAGGCCCAATTCCTGGACCTATAGACTTTAGATCGGCCTTTAAGCTTTCTATCCATCTTTGAGTATTGAGTTAGGTCCCGGGACAATACACTTATAATTCATTAAACAAGGGGAATAGACTCCTCGTTCTTAGAATGAACCTTTTTTCTTAGCTCCCCCAATCCCTTTGGACACATATTATGAAATGAATGATTATACATAAATCTTCACAACATAAATTTACATGCTATGTTTCTTCACAAATCTCTTTTGTCTTCACAAAGCCTTATTTTTACTTAAAAAGGCAATTAAATTGGAGAATGGGCCCAGGAGCCTAGATTGGAATTTTATAAAACAAACATTATACACCCAACGCAATGAAAACATCTTAAGTTGTTGATTTTCATCCCAAACATTGTATGTGCCTTTTCATTTTAAGACCATAACAGACAAAACAGTGATCTCTATCTCTCTATGATTCAGGATGACAAATGACATGTAAAATCCAATTAAGTAGATGTTGCAAACCAAATAGAAACAAATGTTATCATCCATCAAAATTATTTAGTGCCCAAAATATATAAAACAATTCAAACTATCTTCACTAATTTTGTTGTTTAATATAGTAATACATTATAAGAATTTCAGAGTTTCAACTTGAGTGACTGAAAAGTGAAAACTTAGTCAATATTAAAGCAACTACGTTATTATTCTGAGAGTGCATATTAATCAATACAAAGTAAGCACTTCATACATAGACAGAGAAAATGAGAGAAAGAGAGAAAGAAGAAAAACAAGAGAGGGATCACCAAAGATCCCTCTTATGCCCTTCTATAACTTTCTACAGGATAGATTTACCCTCAAATCAAAAAAATAAAAATAAAAACTATTATTGTATTGAAAGTTTCTAGAATATTGGACTTATTTACAAAATCTTAGATTTACTAAAAAATTATTTTATACCTAAGTAAAATGTGTCAAAATTAATAATACTATCAAAATATATAAAACAAGAAGCATTTAATTATATTCTTATTGCTGCTTACGTTTTAGAAAGATTGACACAAACACTGTATACATTTATTATTCAGTTGGATTACTAAAAACCATATTCAAGTTGAAGGGAGAAAACAACATAGAGATCTTCACCAATGAGCTAGAGCCAATAACACAAGAGAACTTGACACCACGTTCAACTCAAAACCTTGAGACTATAAGTTTGTGAATCTTATTTATTTGTTACTCAACTTGCCTATTTCTACACAATGTGAGACTTCAACTCATTTAAACTCCAACAATTTACCCCTCGAGTGTGATATCTAATTAAGTTGAGTTAGTCATCAAGACAAACGATTCACTTTAATACCACTTGTTGAGCAATTTGAAAGAGAACATGTGCTAACAAAACAAAATAACTAAACACCACCTTCAACCTAAAACCTTAATGTTATAAGTTTGCTAGTTTTTCTTACTTATATGTTACCCGATTTGAAAATTTCTACATATGAGATTTCAACCCATACTTCAATTATAAAATGATGAGTGTTAAGTCTCACATCAGTGTAGAGAGATCTCCCAGCTAAAACTAAATATAATTTTTTTTTCATGTTCCTTCCTTCTCGTATCTAAAGTTATAGTAGAATCTTCATTCTCATAGATTACCACAATTATAACTTGTCAGAGGACATTCTATTGCAAACGAGGGATTCACTTTTTATTGCAAAAGAGGGATGCATGAGATGGACTGATCTAGGTTAATAGGAGAAAAAACAAGAAATTAAATGCAATTCCTTATTTTTCATCCAACTGTTAGAATAAAAAGAAAGATACAGTTATAAGACCAGCAATTGATGCAATTTTGTCGTAATAACGAAGTGAGCACAGGAGACTAGCAATTGATTGCAAAAAAACTAAGAAGTTCAGTAAGAAGATCGAAAACGCAATTTCATAACTGAAAGGCCAAATGCCAGAGTTGTAGTAAGACACAGCCTCAAGGCAGCAAGAAATTAGAGTGCAAATCATATCCCATGTCAGCTTAGCAGGAACAGATGTTACCAATTCAATACGAAAATGCTTGATGTCCAACAGTGTTTATACGTATAGACGTGGAATAAATAGGATTCCTATCCACAAAATTTACAAGCATACACTCACCTCGTTCCTTGGCAATATCTGCGCCACTAGAATTCAACCCCCTTAGTCTCTGCAAGATCTCATCAATTATGTTCTGTTTCAAATGCTGCGACAACTCAACCGCCCTAGTTTCACTCGAAAGCTCCCCCTCTAGAGCCTTTACCTTTTTGCACAACGATTTCACAACGTTAACTTCAACTAGCCTCAAATGGAAGCAGATAAAGGGTTCACACTTCTTACCCACTTAATTAACTCCACGGGTTTAAATTCCCTGCGGATTTGCATTGACTCTTCCATTTTCCGAATCTGATCTGGATTATACAAAGCAACTGCAGAAAGACACAAAAATCAAAATCCATGCAGCAACCGTTTCCACTATTTCGAAAAGGAAGAAAATCGGTGCAAGTAACTTACCGTTGCGGGAAACGTTACCGGAGTAGATATAAAGAGAAGCATAAAGAGAGCGAAGAACGTAAAGAGCAACGGCAATATTGAAGAAGCAAACTAAGAGAGTGGTTTTCTTGTAAGAAAAGACCCACTTCCCTCTCGCCATGTTCCTCTTTCCCTCTCTTCTTCATCCCACCATTGCAAACTTCCTCCTTTTAATGGGAAAAAAGCCTGCTCCAACTACTTTAATCTGAGATCGAAGAATCGAAGAAAACCTCAATTGACAAGCTAGCGCCACCAATTAGCGATTTGCTTTAGCTGTTGGACGGAGACTTTGTTGAATTTAATTACAAAGATTTTAGGATTTTGTGTTCTGTCAGTTTCGGCTGCGATTTCTCTTATGCCTAAGGTGAAGTGTGTGGAGACATGGGAAGAACCCTGTTTGGTTGCAAATGTATACTTCGCTTTTTGTCTGAGGTGGTTGGATGAGTTGGGAATTAGACGGAACACCTAATCATTTCGGTGATTCCGCGATTATTGATGGTGGTTCTACTAAACTACGCACAACATTTTTTTACTAACTTGCGCCTTCTTTTCAAAATAATTTATTTTATCCTGTATAATACTTTGTTTTAAAGGAATATTGATTTTTTTTATCATGTATCTTTTTAAAAATTCAAGATAATCTAATTTTTTCACTTCCTTTATTTCTATTTTTGTTATGTATTCAAAAAATTTGAAAAAGGAAATTGAAAACAATTAATAAATATTTTTTTAAAAATAAAATACTTAAATGTTTTTATTAGTTTGAGTGAAAAATATTGTTATATAGGAAGAGAGAGTTTGTACTTAAGTTCTTGAAATGTAAAAAAATATTTCAAAAATAATTTAAAAGAATAAGATGAGTATTGAATGAGTAATCATATCTAATAGAATCATCAAATAATAAATAATATTAAACAAACAAACAAAAGAATAAATAATATCCATAAAAATCTCAACGAAAGATCAAGTACAAGTTTACAAATATTTGAAAGAAAATAAACTAAAAGAGAAAATTAATATTTCCTACAAGTTTGATCAATAAATACAAAGAAATTTAATCATCTGTTTTTCTTACCAATCATTGTCATTATCCATTGCATTAAATTTGTAAAACTGTGTCGAAATTTCACTTGCCGTTTCGTTTAAGCATTAACTTCTTTTAGCTTGGGTTGGCCTTTAGGTAGATGTCTCAAGCCCTTAGTTAAACTAGAGCCCAGAGTATGTTATCATTTTATAAATTTACTCAAAAATCATGACAGGAACTAAATGAAATATTTAATTTTAAAATTAATAAAACAATTCATTTAAACTTTTTTACAAATTTGTATAGCTTATTTAAGACAGTGTTTAAGTTTTTATTATCTTTCAGGCATGTTCACTCAATTTTGAAAAACTAAACCAGTTTGAATTCTTTTATAAAATTTTATTATTCTAATTACATTTTTTAAGATTAAAACTTTAATCTTATTCCGAAAAATATTTTACTTTTTTACAATTATATTTGTCTGGTTAAGATACAGTTTTCGTTTGAACTAGTTTTCGTTTGAACTAGTTATATGCACAAGTTAATATTACTTTGCATGTTTATTAAAAGAGAAATACATATAAAAAACTAATAAATATTTTTAAATTTATTATTAAGTTTTTAATATAATCAAGTTTAAAAATAATTTACAGGTTTTGAAAGTCATAATATTTATAAAAATATAAACAGTGAACTTTGTAGAGATATAAAAGATAAAACAGGTGTAGATTCTCCAAAAGTATAAAGATACATGTAGAGTTGATTCACTAAAAATATAAATTAATGTATGAATATATTGGTGTAGTGTAAATTGTTAGACTCGTCTAATAAATGCGTAGATAAACTTATTTCATATGTATTGTTAAAATCGTATAATTAGTATATGGACTATGGATAGGGATTGCAAAAAAATTCACGCCCGCGAATATCCGCAGATAAGATTCGCGACGGATAGTTGGTATCTGCGGATATTTACTACCTGCGGGTTGCAGATAACGAGTTTTTTAATACCTACTTATAAACGTGTCGGGTGCGGTATTATATTATCCGTACCGAAGGATATCTGCTACCCGCAAAAAATAAAAATAAAAATTTAATTTATATTTTATTAAGTTAAATTTAATTAAAATTAAGGTTAAACCCTTTAGTTGTCCCTAGTTTAAAAATTTGGCCACGTCAACGTCTCGGGTCATCAAAAACTTAACCCCATTAAGCCAATTTAATGGTAGGGGTACAATTGACTCAATTTTTCATTTTTTATGAGTAAATTGAGGATTCTCATAAAACGGGGATCGAATTGGGAAAAACCGACAAAAATAAGGACAAGTAAAGGAGTTTAACCTAAAATTAACATTAATTTATATTTTATAAGGTTAAATATAGTTAAAATTAAAATTTAATTTATATTTAATTTAATATATATTATATTTTATATATTTTTGTAATTTTATTTAAGTTTTATTATAATATTTTATAAAACATATTTTTAAATATTTGCGGGTATCCACGGATATTCGCGGGTTTTAAAATATCCGCGGGTATCCGTGCGGGTAGCGGGTCAGATAGCGGGTGAATTTTTTTTTGTTGGGTCGGGTTGCGGGTAGGCACTATTCGTACCCGACCCGACCCGTTATCATCCCTAACTATGGATGACAACAAATAAATATACTACCTACCTGACTCGTAACAAAATAATTTAACTTCTTATCATTTTGATACAAGTTTAAAAAATATCAACAAATATATTTAAAACTCGTGAATACTCATAGATATCCGTAAATATTTTAAAAATATATTTTATAAAATTTTAAAATAAAAATACAAAAAATATAAACTATAATATAAATAAAATAGAATGTAAATTAGAATTTAATGAAATAAATTTAACATAATACAATATAAATTAATTTTAATTTTAATTAAATTTAACTTAATAAAATATAAATTAAATTTTTATTTTAACTTTTTACCTATAATAGATATCTGCGGGTATGGGTAGTATGATACCACGTTCAACCTATTTATAAGAGGATTTTAAAATACCCGCTACTATCTGCAAGTACAAATACTTTTGTTAACCATAATATAGACACAATCGTCTTATGTATGTTGTTAAACTCATTTAATTAGTATATAAATCAACTTGTATAATGTATATTTCAAGACTCACATAATCGTATAATAGATAGAGTCGTCTAATATGTATTAATAGATTCATCTAATATGTGTATGAACAAACTCATCTACCTTATATTTTTAGTGTATGGACAAAAATCTATTTATTGTATGTTACAAAACTCGTCTGATCAACATATGAACATACTTGTCTAATGTATTATTTTTATACTCATTTAATAACTGTATGAAATTACTCATATAATATTTTTTCATTATATTTATCTAATCAATATATGGACAGACTCGTCTAATTTTGATTGTTATATTTTTTTGTTATGTTAATTTAATTAATGTATGAATAGCCTTTTATTAAGAAATTAAAAAATTAACTTTTGAAACACCTGTCAACAAAATAAAATAAATTTATTAGTATATTATTATTTTTATATTATAATAAATAATAAGTTATTTGACTTAACCCTTTTTTTTTTTACATAACTTTTAAATTTTAATATTGTGCTCAATCTTTTGAAATTCTATGGGATACGCTAAACAATAGAATCGATAAAATAAGAAAATCACATGCTTGATTATCAAAAGAAAATTCAAGTTGTAACTTTAATCATGCATCGATGACAAATATGTTATTGAGAATGTGAAAATTTATGCAAAACATGAAAAATGCTGTTAATTTAGTGATAAATAAAAAAGCTAAAACCTTTGTACCAATGGAATGGATGAGAAAGGCAATGATGGAGAGGATAAGGACAACCACCATCAAATTCTGCTTGTATTTATCTTCAAGCTTCCTCCTCTCGTACACCTAATGCTCTCAACAAATTCAAAGCAAAGTTATAAAAAAAAGTGTTCAAAATTATTTTATGGGTTGAGGCAAGACAGGACAAGGAAGGTGTAGAGTACGAGGAACACATATTTTAAAACATTTTTATATTGTCAATAAAATATATCAGTAACTATAAATCTATGTGAAGCTTATTCAAGGGATTTTATTATAATTTAAAGATATTCAATATATTTAAATAAATAATAAATGCGAAAGTTAATACATTTTGAAGTTAGGTTTTGAAATGAATTTAAAAACGAGAATAAATTTCATTAGATGAAGATTAGATTGCCGATTCATAAACATATATTTTAAACAACTTACGAAATAAAATACTTGTGATTGAATCTTGTTTTACCGATTCTATCATGCTGAATGGATTGAATCATTGATTCTAAACGCTGTTGTGAGGTGTAAGCGATAAGCAATCCCAGTTCTTCCAAAACGTGTTCACACAAATATATGTGTAATTAAAGTTACTTCTGCTAAGTATTTATAATTAAAAAGTAGTTTTTTAATTGAATTTAGATGAGATTGAAAGTTGTTTGTGTCTATAGAGATATTAAAATAGATTATTTTTTAAATTATAAGATTAATTTTAAACTTAGTCAGTAAAGACAAATTTAGATAATAATAATTG